GTAAGGTCTTTATGTCTCATAACGAGAATGGAGGGGGAGTTCTTGGACTATGAAAGTAAAAACTTTACAGTATCAAGACTTTTTTCCGGGTGGTGAAATCCCTAACAAAACTCTCCAGTTAAGCATGCTCAGGTTGTAGTTTTAGGATAGGTGACCTACTGGGAAGAGCAAATCCGTGCGGGCGTGGCCCAAAGCAGATAATATCGTTGACATGTGAGGGGTTGGGGTGTTACAGGTTGTGGGCGAAGGCAAATTGTTGGTGGCAATGGGCGCTGCCGCAACAATGAATGGAGGGGGAGTGGGTTTCATTTTTTTTATTAGTGAATACAAATTTGTAATAAATATTTTTGCATAATGATAAGTGTATTGACAAAAATACCCCTTCCCCGTTAATTGTATTTAACAGAATTGGATAGAGGATTGGAATTGAAATCTTATTGAAAATTTAGGGTTTAAATTGATAAAATAAAAAATGTAGGGTTTGATTTGTTAATCGGGTTAAAACTTGGGATTTTTTTTTTAATTTGCCCATTTTTTTATAAATATATATTTTTTAAAGATGCCACTAGAATGTAATTATCCTTTAAAAAAATGGTAGAAATAATTATTGGCTAAATTCGGTTTAAATTTAGGGATAATTAGTCTAAGGTCCCTCTCCCACTTTTCGTAATGGAAGAGATCCACAAAATTATTTTTTGATGCCTAAGGTCCCTAAACATATACCAGTGAAATTTGACTTTTTGTCTCTCCTCTCTCTCTCTCTTCTCTGCTCCTCCACCCTCCTCTCCACCCTCATCTACGACCTCTTCCTCAACACCTTCTCCTCCGACTCCTCCCTCCGCTCCCCCACCGTCGCAGACCTTCGCGCCGCCCGGATCCGCGACCCGGCCTGCCTCTCTATAAATTTATGATTGAACAGCTGAACGCAGAGTTCACCCGCGACACCTTCGATGGCAACCAAGTCTTAGAGCTCAGATACGAAACTTACTTGCCAATGGCGATTCGCTGCACCAAATCCATCATCATCGGCTCGTTCCTCTTGGAATCTCCATTCCATCCCCGTCGCTCACCGCCTCGGCCCCGTTCCAGTCGGCCACACCAACGTTGTCATCGCTGTCTCTGCTGTTCATCATGCTGAAGCTTCAATGAAGAAGTTTAGGCTGCCAAGGCCAAAGCGTGGGCAACAGCCAAAGTTGCAACAGATGATCAGCATTCACAGTCACAGTATACACCAGTTGGCAGACCGGAAGAACAAAGTCATTATCATGATCAGTATACACAAACTGCTGATCTTTATTATCCTGATGTGGCTAAACCGTCACTTCATGTAACGAGCTATCAACAGTATCCACCTCCAGCTACACCTCCATACAGGCCACCCATGGTTCATCTGCAAGAGTCTGCATCCATCAATTCTGGGCAATCTTCTTTTGTTCCATATGAGCATTTAGCTTATAGTGCTGGAGATGAAAATTTGGCAGACCCAGCCTGCCTCTCTGTAAATTTATGATTGAACAGCTAAACGCAGAGTTCACCCGCGACACCTTCGATGGCAACCAAGTCTTAGAGCTCAAATACGAAACTTACTTGCCAATGGCGATTCGCTGCACCAAATCCATCATCATCAGCTCGTTCCTCTTGGAATCTCCATTCCATCCCCATCGCTCACCGCCTCGGCCCCGTTCCAGTCGGCCACACCAGCGTCGTCATCGCTGTTCATCGTGCTGAAGCTTCAATGAAGAAGATTAGGCTGCCAAGGCCAGAGCGTGGGCAACAGCCAAAGTTGCAACAGATGATCAGCATTCACAGTCACAGTATACACCAGTTGCCAGACCGGAAGAACAAAGTCATTATCATGATCAGTATACACAAACTGCTGATCTTTATTATCCTGATGTGGCTAAACCGTCACTTCATGTAACGAGCTATCAACAGTATCCACCTCCAGCTGCACCTCCACACAGGCCACCCATGGTTCATCTGCAGGAGTCTGCATCCATCAATTCTGGGCAATCTTCTTTTGTTCCAGATGAGCATTTAGCTTATAGTGCTAGAGATGAAAATTTGGCAGGAGATCCAAATGCTGTATTTCCTCATCAAGAAAGTTCACCTACAAGTTCATCGGTTCATCTGCATGAGGTACCTTCTAGTTAACTGAATTGATTGCTGAGCTGAATTTCTCTGGGTTGAAAAAAGAGAAATTCTTTGGTTTTTTAACTGAATTTCTCTGGGTTGAAACCAGAGAAATTCTCTGGTTTTTTAACTGAATTTTCTCTGGGTTGGTCCAGAGAAATTCTTTGGTTTCGAGTTGGAACCTGGAATGCTTAATTTGTATAAATCCCATTGCATTTTTCTCCCTTTGTATTTATTTTCTTGATGTATACAAAGTTGCCTACGATGTTAAAGCAGAGAAATTTGCCTCCATCTCTGGCATCTCAATCACAGAAATTGGAATTTCTCTGGATTGGAGAGGAAGAATTTCTCTAGTTTGGGTTGGAGAGGGAGAATTTCTCTGGGTTAAGTGAATTTCTCTGGATTGGAGATGAGAATTTCTCTGATTTTCAGTGAATTTCTCTGAGTTAGAGAGGGAAATTTCTTTGGGTTGAAGTGAATTTCTCTGGAAAGTCTAGAGAAATGTGAGATTTTCTCTGTGCAGTCCAGAATTTCTTTGAATAGAATTTTTCTGGAAAAAATTTCTTCGGACTGAAATTTCTCTAGACTGGAATTTTTCTGGGCTGAAATTTCTCTAGATCAATGTTGAGGGACCTTAGACATTATGAAAATATTAGATGTCCTTCATATTATAAAGTCTTAATACTAGGGACCCTAAAAAAACAAACCCTTAAATTTATGATATATTTTTATATAAAAATCAAATATAAAAATTACTAGCCTCTTCAAATATTTTGAAAATTTTTGAGTATCTAGATTTTTTGGGAACTTTCTCAAATAAGAGAGATGAAAAGCAAGGCGAGGCAAATAAAGAAAGGACATTCTGTTAACCTGTATCTTCTGTTGTTGGATCTGGATCAAATCGCCGAACAGGTGGAGACATGGATGCAACCCAGATCTAGGGTTTTTGTGAACTTTCTCGAATAAGAGAGATGAAAAATCTCGATGAGCACAAGGCTATTGAAATGTATATTTATAGCTCTACAAATGGTCCCTACTTTTTTACAATATTCATAGAAGGCCCAAAACATTGCCTCTTCACTATTTCCATTCACATCATATATATAATATTAAAAGTAGTGTTTACCATTTTTTTTTTTTTCTTCTCTCCTACTCACCAACCCCCACGTGTGTTGGGGGGTGGTGGTGGTGGTGGGAATATGCGGGTCCTAATCACAGTTGATTTTTAAATTCAAAAACTCTTTTTGTCAATACAATATTATAAAAAGTTAATAAATTAAATTGCAACGAAAGTGTCCAAATCACCCCAAAATACATTCTAACGGGATAGGTAAATTTTTTCGTTTTAAGGAAAGAGTTACCTGCGGTGGAGAGGATGCAGAGGCGCGTGGGGGGTGGGGGGTTGAATATATATAGAAAGATATATAATTAATAATATTAATGTATTAAAAATAATAAAATAAATAAATAAATAAATAAAAATAAAAAATAAACAGAAACAACTACCACATCATTAACACCCTTTTTAATATTCCCTTTTTAATGTTCCCGAACATTTTTCAAACAGATATGGTGAGGTGATGATGGGGAGCAGCTATTAAATGCTTGAATTGGAATGGGTGCAGTGCAGCAATCCATCTTCTATTTTGCATTGTGACGGACCAATGCTCTCATGATGTGAATACCATGATGAGTAAAAAAAAATTAATGTTTGGTAAAGTTTTAAAATTATAATTTAAGAGTATAATTATATTTTAAATTTATGAGTTTTATAATTATTGTTTTAAAAAAAAATTATTTAATTATAAATTTAAATTTTTATTGACATAATAAAATAAAAAGTTTTTGCTTTAAAAAGCTTACAACTCATAATCAAACACACATTTTAAAATTCTATTCAAAACTTATAAAAAATTTTGAAAATATTTTTTATTTAAAATATAAAAATAACATATGTCAATTCCCAAAAAAAAAAATACTGTTCAAGTCAACTGGCTAGACGTTCAGGAAGATGACTGAATAGACGTGTTTTCAAAAGTAATTGTAGAATCAATTTTTGAAAATTATAACCAAACACAAAAATCAAACCAAGATGTGGAATCATTTTCAAAACTCCACCAAACATAACCTTTCATATATCAAGCTCTTTAAAATTTGCATTCAAACACGATAAAAGGCTCGTTTTGCATGAAGGCTTGGGTTGAGTTGAGTCTATTATAGTCATAAAAGACAAAATAGATTTTTTAGCTCAATAAAACAAAATGTCACATCCAAGTCATAATCGTTTCATTTTTTCTCTCACAAAAGGAAAAAAAATCAAAAAATCCATCTCAAACAAGACTTTTTAATCTCAGACCAAAAAAATCAAAAAGCTAAAAAATCAATTCACACCCCAAACGAAGGCAAAATGTATTACATCACTATTAAGCCATCTAATTAAATGTTTTTTTTTAGATGGGCATTATTTTTATTTTCTTGATAGATAGACTTTTATCTAAAATAAGCTTATGCCTTTTCTTTTTTCCTTTTTTCATTTTTGAGATAAGAGCAAGACTAATTTCATATGTGCTTTAACTTTTCTAATCTAAACATATATTTCTCAACTACATCATACATGTAATTTAGGCCAAGTTTGGCATACTTGAAAAAAGACAAAAAGTCAAAAATTCACTATTCTATTTAAGTCACATCATCTTATTTAAGTCACATCACCTCTCTAACACATCACTTTAAACCCAACCCAAACCCAACCCATATTTCATAAAAAGTCAAAAAGTGCACTTATTTAAATCATCCCAAACAACCCCTTACTCAGTTTTTTTAAGATTTCAATTAAGTGCAGTACTAACTGCCATCCAGACAACTAGTGCACAAATCCCTTTCTACAATTCTTAACTTCCTTGAACCAAATAATTCATCAATTAAGCTCTCATATGTTATAACAACACATATATGATATATCAGATCAACAGAGAGTTCTATTGAAAAAAAAATGATACATATATATGCACAAAAGAACTTAGCTCTTTGATCTTCTCATATGTTTCTATTGTGCACCCTTCAATGCCAACAAAGCAGCCCCATATGCAGCCTCTGTCTGAAGAGCCCGACTCACCGGTAAACCAAGAACCCTCTGTCGAATCATTGTCCATTTTTCATTTTTTGCACCACCACCGGCTGTGAACACTTCTTCAACCTCGGTTGCCCCTAGATCTTTCAGTAAGGTATAACCCTTGGCCTAACAGACAAGTGAATATTGTCACAAGGTTATCTAGTAAAGGACTACATGCCTTTTTTCACAATGTAAAATAACAGAAAAGAAACTAATGTACACCTCTATGCGGGCAATGGACTCAAGAATACCATGCAAGTACTCAACATCACTTTCTGGGCGTGGATGTAACCTACACAAGAATGGTTACTCTATTGATTTCGTGTAAATCTCCAAAACTTAAAGATAGTAACCCTCAAATTATGAGGTTATGGTTACTCTATTGATTTCTCAAAATATGCAAAGAGAATTAATACCTGGGCTCCATCTCCGGATCTGCCACTGGAAATCTCTCACCAACCGCTTGCAGAGGATAGTAGTCCAGAGGGGAGGCTACCATGGGATTAATTTGCTTGCTCAATTTATCCAGTTGCTCATCGGTAAAAAATTGTCTAAGAACAGCTCCACCTGTATTTGAAGCTCCTCCAACAAGCCATTTATCGTCAAGACGATGACTATACACCCCAAACCTTGAATCCTCAATTCTATTGGTGCTTAAAAGTTTTATGGCAAGAGTTGAGCCTAGAGATGTTACCTAATTAAAACACGATTCATCAAAATTCTAAATACCATTATATCAAAATCTGCAACTGTGAGACGGAACTTATCAAAGATAAAAATAAGAGACTAAAAAGCCACTAGATGATGCAAGCCTCCACCTAAACCAATCCAAATACATACTAATGCATGTGCTACAACTTTTCCAGTGAGAGAGAGAGAGAGAGAGAGAGAGAGAGAGAGATGTCTCACAGCTTTCCCAGGCTGTGTAGCACGTGCAGCAAGAAAGGCAGCTATACTATCAGTGGTTCCCGTGCAGACAATACAATATTTTGGAAACCCTGCAAGAATGTTTATTTTGAAGAATATCAGGTGCAAGTCAAACTAGAGCAAATTGTCTGCAACTGTAGAACAGGTTCAAGGTGCAACAGTTAAAAGGATTCATAATAGCCGCTCACTGTTTTAGGAGCACCACACCAATTTGTTCACAAGAGATAAACTAGTCACAGTACACATACCACAGCAAAAATACAATCCTTGAGCACACAACAATCTCATACCTGATGGGTTCAATGTCTTGTGGAAGTACAAATTTCCATAAATAGCAGCATTTCAGAAACACAATACAGCTTTCACTTCTTGTCCTTTTATGTGCCACTTACTCAATATACTGCTTCTACAAACAGGACTCCATAACATCCTGTTAGTAATGAACTCTCTCTCCCTGATTAATTAAATTGTTGGTATTCATTTTTATATCTCAAATGTAGGTACATTATTACATTTCCTTTATTTGCTGTTCATTTTTGTAAAAAAAATTTCCTTCATATAATAGTTCAGATTATCAAATACACAGGTAATGTATGAGAAGGAAAAACATTAAGGTGTCAATTCCTACTATAAAAGTCTAACAAGTCAACCAATATGCTCATAGATTACAGTGTAAATAAGGAATAAAAATTGAATGCTACATGGTCTTCAGTAGTGCTCTACTAAATAGAAAACCAACATACCAAATTGTGTTCTAATATCCTCCTTTATAGAACCAATTGAAGTTCCAGGAGCTTGGATGGAAGGCAAAACATGTGAATATGGCTGCGAGATCAGCCAGCTTGGATAGGAGTCAAGTTCAGGATCATAGCCAACCTGTGGCACATAAAGAATGTTTGAACAGTGTTTGACACAATCATTTGACAATTGGACACAGGAAGTGAAGAAAAAACAAACATAACAAATTCTAAATCACAATACCTTCAAAGCATTATTGTAATCTGACACTCCAAGCTTGCCATGAAGAAGCCATAACAGCCAGTCCGCTTGATGCAACAATAGTGCAGATTCTTTGTTTGAATCATTGGAGTTCCACCATGAGACAAGCTTGCACAGTGTAGAGGAACCAGAGCAGACTGTGTGGTTTGCTGGGGCAATGGACTTAACTGCTGGCAAAGCATCAGGACAACTTTCATTGTACAGTAAAGGTCCACATAACGGATCTCCCGTTGCACTGCAGTAACACGTACAGGTGTTAATCTTGAATGAGGTGTTTGGTGCCAAGAATTTATAAATATGACTATTAGTATTATTAGTAATAATTCTCTGCGATGTTCACCTGTCTATAATGACAGTTGTTGCAGAAGTCCCATCTATAGAAATAGAAGCAATCAATGGGCGGAGATTAATTGGAACATCGTCAAGAAGTGAGTGAAGGGTGACTTTCCATGAGAGCAACCAATCCACTGTGTCTTTGCTCTTTCTAGACATCAAAAAGAAGCGTTCAAGTTCATTTTGACAATGGAATCTATTGAGTAACACAAATAAACATTCTTGCAACCTTATTGAACATGTCCCGATTCCTTAATAAAGCTTGATGGTCTTAAATTGTTATCTTTCTACTATTGTTATATCTCTGATCCTCAGTTAGCAAATTAAAACTGTTATATGATTGATATTCATTCTTAAATTACCGTATTTCTCCACTAGATTAAAGAATTACAATAAAGTGGAAATAAGAAAGGTTATTAATATAGGCATGCACTATACAGAGTAATGCTAGAAACCCACATTTTAGAACCACAAATTCACCCACAATGATGTGGCAAGGAAGGTAGGCCTTATATCATTGGGTGTGTAACTAATCAAAAGTTGACACCTATTATACTATTTCAGCGTGGACCAAATTGTGGGAACTTTTTGTGGGTCTCAAACATTTTCTCATTATATAAATGCAGCTTTGAGCGACAATGTTTAAACCATGGGGCACTTTAAAATACTATTTTATGCTTGAAGAATTGTGATTAGATCGAAATGGGTGGTCCTAATTTCCAAAGTAGTGTATGCTACCACACAACTATATCACCAAATAGGTTTTAAGACCATCTATGCAACCTAACCAGTGCAAAGTGCAAATGTGAACTTTGCAAATCAATTTCAAGATAATGATCTTACCATGTATAAAGGATACCCCCTCTTTCCTTCTGCTCGTATAGTCCCTTCCATGTCAATAAGAGCATACCTAGCCCCAGATGTGCCAAAGTCCATACCAAGATAAAGCCGCTCACCAACTTCAAGATCAATGTCCCGTTTATTTTTACTACTTCTGTAAGTCATAATTCTTGCTCTTGCATTGTCTACATTAATCAAGCGCCGCCCAGTTCCCGAAATTAACTTCCTCGAGCTATGATATCCTAACAGGTCCATATCAATTACATGTTAATGCAATGCACTTACAATAAGCTGCACTGATGCACCTGAATTTAAAAGGCAAACGGGAAATTAACAAGAATCTGTGAATCGAAGATCATTTTTTATAGTTAAGACTACAGTTATTAAAGCAATTAGACATGGAACTGGACGGTTAATGAATTAAATACATAAGGCCATGTTTGGTTGGGGGACATGCCCACGAGTACAAAATTTGGGTCTGAACTAATATTAAACCCGGACATAGAATCCCAATATAAAATGGGGATTAATGAGAGATTTAGACTACTAGAATAAACCACAAAATTTATAGAATTTTGTCAAACTCTCCTCATAATCTTGGGTCAGCCCAAGCCTGAGATAGGATACACAATCCAAAATAATTGATAATCTCAATATTAACAATCATAAGAAAGCTAATTTCACCAATCACTACAATAACAAGTTTATATGTATGTTAGGGGGCAAATAAACATACACCTCTACTCATAACTGTGTATATGCATATATATGTAGAGAGAGAGAGAGAGAGAGAGAGAGAGAGAGACCGTGTTTGGGGGAATCTGGCCTGAGAAACAGAGATGGGAATGTAGAATGGTGAATTGAGGCTTCCATTTTTGTTCGGAGTTTTTTTTTGTTTTTGCTGCTTTCTCTGCGGATAAGAGAGCGGTTTAATGTGAATTCTTGCAGATAATGCAACGCTTAAACGACGTCGTGAGAGTGAAGATGATTGGCTCGCTCAGCTGCCTCGTTAAAATCCCATCGGCCCAGGCCCAATAATGAGCCATATTGTTCAGCAGTAAAAATACATGGGCTGGAACCAACGTCAGAGCCCATCTATACTGAAATAATTAATTTTTTTTTTCTTCTTCTTCTTCTTCTTCTTCTTCTTCTTTTTTTTTTTTTTTTGTGTTTGTGTTTGTGTATGTACATATACATTTTTAATAAAAAAATAAAAAGATTAAAGTTTTAGTAACTTCCCAAACACATTTTAAAAAGTCAACAAATAATAAAATAAAAAAATCCACTCAAAAAATAAAAAATATTGGGCCATGTCTATCCCTGAATTTTAGAGATGGAGTCCGTTAAGTTAACCCAAGAGTAAGGCTATGTAACCCTCCATCTCATCAGCTTGGTTCAATCCAATCCCTGCCAACTCCACTCTCCCTCAAATATCCTTGTGTTCTTCTTCAATCAAAATTGAATAAATAAATTGAAAAAATATATATTGACTTTTTTGGCAAAAAATTGACTTCTTTTGAGTAAAAAATCTCACTTTTTTGGCTAAAAAAACTAAAAAAATAAAAAAAATTAACTTTTTTAACGTGTTGCCACATTGAGCCAATAATGTCCCAATTACTATAGTTTAACGAGCTTTAAAAAAAGGGTCCATTTATGACCACTAATCTGATTATCTAAAATCATCATTAAAGAAATCGAAACAATTTATACCATGCCAAAAATTAAAAAAATAAAAAATAAAAAAAATGACGTGAAGATGTAGAGCGAGATAAGCAAGTGTTATGTATTGGTGCACCCAAGGTTTCACATCACGGGCAAAAGTAAATGCTAAAAAAACAGATATGGTGGTGGTTAGTTGAGCAAATGCTATATACTTTTTAATCGCGTGTGGAGGAGGATGAAATTAGTAGTATTGTACTTAGTTTATAAAAATAACAAATTTAATTAAATTGTATATCCCTACGTATACATCTCATAATTTCAAATATATATTCATTTCTAATTTTATATGTTCTCTTTATGCCTCTTGATTTTTCAAATCATGTCCTCAAACCCATTTCAATTGCTACCTCATCTATTTTTGATCGGCATTGTCTTTTTCCACCTTTCTTTGTTGCTTCCACACGTATCTTATTACCCCACGACACCCTCCAAGCCTCCATTGCCAATCCCATTTATTTACCATAGTACAAAATATATAACGAAACTCTTTTCAAATCATGACGATGAAACTTGGTAAGAAATGAAGAGAGAGATGAAACTTTGTAAGAAATGAAGAAAGAGAATGCTAGTGTTTTAAAGGAATGGAATAAAAATTTCAAAATATAGAGTTTCAATTGATTAGGAGTGGAAGTGTACGGAGGACAATGGGAATAAGTGGTAGTTCATGGTGAGATGAGGGTTGTGGTGGCAATAAGTTAAAGGGTTTGAGTAGTTGTAGCGTATCATGTATAAGGCAATATAAAAAGTCAAAGTGGAGTTTGTTGGTGAGCGTGAGCAAAGGGAATGAGGAATACCGATGGTTCAATGTGAAGAGAGATGAGTTGTTAAAGTGGTGATGATGATGATGTAAGTAAAAACGGAAAGAAAAAATAGAGAGATAATGACGGATAAAAATGAGTGTTATTAGACAAATGAGAGGTTGTAAATTTTATTATTTTTATTTTTAACAATAAATTTGTTTAGATATAAAATTGTAATAGAATTTGTGATGTCAGATACAAATTATCCCACATTTAGTTGTAATATAACTTAATAATAAACTAACATCTTATAATATTAACATATATATATATATTATATATATATATATAAATTATCCAGTTGATAAGAGCATCTCCAACAGTGACTCAGATTTTTCACCAAATCTGAGTAAAAAATGACCCATTTCACCAAATTTGATACCACTCACTCCAACGGTGCATCAAATCCCGTATCAAATCCCATGGGTCAACCGATTGGTCGACCGGTGAGTTGACCGATAAGCGTAAATATTTTTTTTTGGAACGCATTGTTCATGGAGATGGGAATTTGTTCAATAACTATCCGGAATTAGAGGAATCTTTGGTTTGGGTTTATTTTTACTCCACTTTTCCAGAATTCAACAAGGTGGAATGTTGGGGACCACTCATCTTCATCAATTCATCAAGAACTTGGAATGTATTCAGAACAGCTTCATCTCTGTTTTGGTTTTGGTGGTTGACCGGGTGGTTGACCAGCCGGTCGACCGGTAAGGCAAAAATAATTTTTTTTTTTTTTTTTTACCTGTTTGAACCTTTTTTTGACCGGTTTGAACCTATCAATTTCAAAGGAATTCGGTCGACCGGTTGGTCAACCGGCCGGGCAACCGGTTGGTCGACCGGGTCTTTCCTCCAACGGTCACCAACAGTGTTTTGGTGAAATCAGTATTTCGTCGTTCGTTTGATAAATTGTTTGATGAAATCTCAATTTGATATTCATTTGGTGCAACCGTTGGAGCAGTGAATAGTAGCTTTTTCATCAAATTTTGAATTTGATATCAGTTTTGGTGAACCATTGGAGATAGTCTAAGATGTACAAATAAATCAAATACCTCACCAAAATCACCAAAAATGACTTGTCATGGTCAAATCACCCAGAAGTTATTCAGTGCTCACGGGGCTATGGTCATATAGTGTTTATGAATATTGTGATTAGATAATGATGTGAGATTTATAATTTTGTATAGTGACATAAAGAACTTGATATTTAGGCATAGTTTGGAAAGACTAAATAAGTGTACTTTTTGATTTTTTTTGTATTATGTGTAGAAAAAGTAGAGAGGAGATGTTGATTGATGTGACTCAAAAAAGATAAAAAGATGAAATAAGTGCACTTTTTTCTTTGTAGCCAAACTTGGCCTTAGTTGTGTTTGGTTTATATAAGCAAGAATTTTAAAAGAAAAAAGATAAAATATAATTAAAATGTAAACAAAATATATGCTTGGTTAGAGTTTTTCAAAAACTCTTTTCATAAAATTATTTTTTTGTTTTTCATGTTTTTTTGTTTTTATTGAATTTTTTTAATATTTTAAATATTTTTTTTTACTTTTTAGACATACCTAACATAAATATACTTAAAAAGTAAAAAATTTGTGAAAGAAACCTTTTAAAAATTCACTAAATACCAAAAATACAAAAAAAATATGAGAATTATGTACATATTTTGTATTTTTATGTATTTATTAATTTTTTAAAATATTTTTTCACAAATTTTTTACTTTTTAAATACATTTAAATAAGGTGCATCTAAAAAAATATTTAAAATTTTAAAAATATTTACTAAAAACAAAAAAATACGAAAATCAAAAAATTCAATTTTCAAAAAATTTAATCCAAAAAAATCAAACCAAACACACTGAATTATATTTTATTTATATTTTACATGTTCTTTTAAATATTTATTAAAATTTATAAACCATACACAATCAATATTTTTTCGAATCAACAGATAATGGGGGTGTTTGGTGGGGGTTTTTTGAGCCAACTTATGGCTTCTGACTTTTAAAAAGTTATTTTGGACTGTTTGGTTAAACTTATTTCAAACAGTTTCTGATTCTAACAACTTATTTTAAGTCAAAAAAATTGATTCTGAGAAGCTACTCACCCCTTATTTCTGATTATCAACTTCTGCTGTGAACATTTTAATTCACGGTTATACTCTTAAATTTTTTTATTTTTTATTTTTTTAAAAATAGAAAAAGAACCAAATTCACTATAAAATATTATTATTATTTTTTATGAGAAATGTAGACAAATAGTGAATAATAAAAAATAAAAATTAATTGAAAAAGTTACTTCACAGATTATTTAACAAACACTACTCAGCAACTTAAATTTATAATTTAACAGTTATACCAAACAGATTAACAGCTTCTGATTAAAGTCATAATTTATAATCTGTTAAGTTATAATTTATAATTTATTTTAACAGGTACACCAAACATCACCAATGTCCCGAGACACAGCTAATAAGTTTCCGGAATCAGTAACAACCAGCTAAGTGTAATCAGATGTATGATGTGTAAAGCACGACAAGTGAGGGGACACCCATCACATGGGAACGTATCTTCATCCTCACTCCTCAACGCCCAATTTCTCACCAACGCCTTCACTTTCCTTTCATAGGATGAAAATTATATTACAACAAATAATTGTACGGTGACCAAACTTTAGCAGTCAACATTGGAACTTGAGACGATGATACCCAAAAAGATATTAAGAGCGACAATTTATTTTTGTCAACTAAGGAAATATTTACAATTTTATAATTACTATGAAATTAGTAATAATTAATTAGTGAAGTGAAATAATACAATTTCGCAAGCGGTCAGAGGCTTTATATTAAATAAAGTGGTGTTACATCTCTTAATATATTGTCTAATTTTAATCTCTAATATAGTTGAAGAGAGAGAGAGAGAATAGAGAGAAATAGTGGGAGAATGATGAAAAGTTAGAAGTAAAGGTCCATTTCACATCATTTAAATAGAATGTGTTCAATTAGAGTTTCTAAATATTTTTTCTATTGAGAAATAAACTAAAGGAAAATGATTGGTGGCCCTAAAAAAGTTGCCCCTAATACCCCTAATTTCTAATTTTGGAAACTGTTTTTTTTTTTCTTTCTTTTTTCCTTTTTTTTTTTTTTTTTTTTTTTTTTTTTTTACCTAAAATGGAATTTCGGGGCATTCGAGCCCCGAAATTACGGGCTCTCAATCACTGCCGTAAACTAAAACCATATAAAGACTCTATACTATTAATAAAATGATCAATCTTTACCTCTCAACTACAAGATTAACTAATGAAACTTCTCTAATTGATAATCAGAACATTTTACTTAGTGATCGTATAATATCAATTGTGATATGAGGTTTCTATTCAACTCTTATGAAAATTAATTTTATATCTTTTAGTTGTTAGGCTTGG